TAGTTTCTAGTTAACATTCATATATTTAGGTCAAGACTTGACTGCTTTTACAACTTTTAACCAGTTTATAATTCATGGAATTCTCTGTGGTATTTTCATTTAAGTCACTTTCTCACTTAACAGCTCTCAACCCTGGCTCAACAGCAAAATAACTAAGAATATAAAAAAATAAGCAAAATCAATGCCCAGGGTCCCCATAATGGATGAAATCATATTCTGCCAGTGGGACCCAGGCATTGGTATGGTTTAAGACCTTCCCAGGTGCTTCTAATGAACAGTCAAGGTAGCAATCCATTGCTCCAACTGGAGCAATTAGAAACTTCCGAGAACTTCTATTTTTAATGTGCATATAAATTTAACTTTTTAAAATGCAGATGCTGGTTTGATAAGTCTGGGGTGGGGCATGAGATTTTGAATATTTAGAAACTTACTCTGATGGTCTGCAAATCACTTTTAAGTACAGAAAGGAACAAAGAAAATTAAGATAGGTGATTAAAGAGATAAGCAACTAACAAAACAATGAGCTTTTTAATAATAATAAAGGGTAAAACAAGGGCCTCTTCTTCTACTTGGTCACCTAATCTAAATATTCTTTGAAGTCAAGGTAATGCTGAAATTGGTTAGGATGGACCTTCCTATAGCACACCTACCTCCCAGGTTGACCATATGGGATTTCTAATCATATCATATTTGTCCAGAAGGGCTTTCTGAGAGTCAAACTCCTTAGGACCAAATTTTAGATTGCAGAGTGGGGGCAGGGAAGCTGAGGCAATAGATAAGAAGATGAGCATGAGCTTTGAAAAGAGACTCAAGATCAGAAAAAGGGAAATGAACACTTTGGTCAGAAGTCAGGATACTTGAGAAGTAGAATAAACATAGTACCTAAAATTCCAAGAGCCAGCAAACACAGGGCAGGGGCGCTGTGGATTCCAGCAGATGAATAAAGGAGTCCAAGAACCCTTGGTGGATTTTTCAGGCTTTAATGCTCTCTCAGGGAACCAGGTACACGGGCACAGCTGGCAGAGAGGCTGGCATGCGAGGAGTCAGACTCGCGCTGGGCAGGGGAGTTCCGGGGTTCGGGCGGCTATCAGCCCCGAAGGAATCCTTCCGCTCTTTCTCTGCGCTCTCTCTGGCGTCAGCGCATGGTCTCACCTCGTGCTCCTCCTCCAGGCGCAGGTGTGCACACTTACACATGCGCACACACCCATATTCCAGGTGTCCACAATCAGACACGCGAGCCCTGCGCCCACACTCCTGAGCACCTTCTCCATTAACACCATCAAGACCACAGGTGACAGCCACAGAGGCTATTCCAGGCCCTCAGCAAATGCTGAAGCCTCTTTCATGCTGTGTCAGTGCACTACGTGGGTAGGTAAGTGTTACACCTTTGCTTCAGGCCTTCTCCTCTGACCATCATTCCCAACCACTAGGGTTGGTGAAAAAGCTGAAATTTTTCCAGGTTTCTTAGTGAAAGGTTGTGGTTCTCCGTATTTAGGCTGCAGGGTTATGAGAGTGTAGAATGGAGGAGGGATCCCAGGATCTCTTGTAATGAAGCCCTATCTCCTGGGACTGGGTGATGGTAACATATGTATAAAGTGCCAGGCACAGTCCAAGGAAGCTGGGTATAGTAAGGAATGGTAGAGACTTAGAGACAAAAGGCAGCAAGCAAAGTCATGATTTTGGAAGGCCAATTTGAACACAGGCGCTAGTTTTTTGGGGTTTTTTGGTGGTAAAATAGCCATAAAATTTACCATCTATGATAATTTTCTGTAATAATCATTTTGCAATATATACACAAACCACATCATTGTTACATAATGATATGTCATATATATCATATATCTTTAATACAATTCAATTATATCAATAAAATTGGAAGAAAATTTATCATCTTAACCATTATATATACAGCTCAGTGGCATTAAGTAAAATCATATTGTTGTTCTGCCACCCTCAGAACTCTTTTCATCTTGCAAAATTAAAAACGTGCCCATTTTATAATAACTCCCTTTCTTCCTAGCTCCTAGCCCCTAGAAACCACCATTCTACTTTCTGCTAATGAGTAAAACTATTCTATAATTCCTATAAATAGAATCATACCACATTTGTCCTTTGGTGACAGGCTTATTTCACTACACAATGTCCTCATGGTTCATCCATGTAGCACATTCTGGAATTTTCTCCCTTTTTGATGCTGAATAACGTCCTTTTTCATGCATACATTTATGTTGTAGTTACGCTTTCATGTGTTGATGGACACTGGGTTGCTTCCACCTTTTGGTTACTGTGAATAATGCTACTATGAACATGGATATACAAGTATTTCTTTTGTTTTCAATATTTTGGGATATATATCCAGAAATGGGATTGCTGGATAATTCTATATTTTTATTTTTGAGGAACAATAGTACTCTTCCATAGGTGCTGTCACATTTCACATTCTCACCAACTGAGCAGCTGTGTTCCAATTTCTCCATATCCTTGCCAACACTGTTGTTTTCTGTTTGGATTTTGTAGTTGTTTTTGTTAGCAGCCATCCTAATGGGTGTGAAATAGTATCCTATTGTACTTTTGACTAGATAGTGAACATCTATTCATATGCTTATTGACCATTTGCTTATTTCTTATAAGTGAAGTATCTGTTTAGATCTTTTGTTCAATTTTTATTTTTTTCAGTGATTTCTATTTACTTACAGTTTGTGTTCAATGCAAATCAATTCCATAACATGAGAAGTTACTATGAATCAAAGCATAAATACACAAACACAATACACAAAATAGACGTACAGCATTCAGGTATGAAACAAAAGGGACTGTTCATTCACACACAAGTAGCTTGAGATTTGTTGGATAAAGTTGTTCCCATGTGGGTTTCTAAAGATGAAAAAAGTGACTTTGTTTATCAAGACTACTTTGGCCATATTAGATACCAGAACATCTAAGCATCAGTGTGTGACCATGCGAACAAGAGTGTAGAATTGTCTAATTTTAAAAATGTTTCTGTGCACTGGGACAGTTGTGATAAAGACCTACTTTTCAAAATCAAGCCCACTTTGGGTTTAGGACCAGGTTCTAACTATCTAAAAATATTGACGGATAACAGAAAGGGTTCCAAATGTGACTATTCTGATTCATAGCTTTAAAAAAAAGTATTTACAAAAAACATATACAATTTTTTCCTGAATTTAATGCAGGTTAGCTTCCAGGCTTCATTTTTCAAACACCTGATTTAACTGATGCCTTTTTAATTTCAAGATTTGTCAATTTACCTTCAATCATTTTTTTAAATTAAAAAAAGCATTTGACATTAGTTAAGGTCAATGTACTTCTACTATTTGGTATCAGTTTAGCTAAATGAATCTGGCACGCCTGTTGATAGGAACAGGTGATTTAAGTGCATAAGCAAAATTTACTAATTATGGCTGGAGTTGGGTAGATTCCAATCCATCATTGCCCTGGTACATGTCAATTCCTATATAAAAAGTCAAATGCAATGTCAAATACAAAGCTGAAGAGGAAAGAGTTCAGTTCCCAAGACAACGGTGATAGTTTAACAATGTAAAAGCTTATCTAGAGTATGTCGTCATTAAATCAGTACTGCTAAAACAATACATTGAGGATTTACACCTGGAAGATCCCTCGAATATATACATAAATAGAATCACTGAAACTTTGTATTACCTAACTGCTTTATAACTTTATAGATTTAGCGAACCAAATGAAAACGGAATCTCTGTTCCACATCCCATCCTTTATCTCTAGATATTTATTCTTATCTTCAAGATAAGTTTTATATGTCCATATTTCTGAAACCATAATTAAGGAAAGCATCTGTAGGGGCAGGAGGGCCACTGGGCAGGATTTCTATGACCCGAGCAGACGGAGTAAAGGAGGAGTCCTGGAGCCCTCAGTGGCCTTTCTCAGGCTTTATTAGGATTTGCCAGTGTAGGGTAAAGAAAAAATGTCAGGCTTTTCTGCCCTCCCGCCATCAGGATAGATGATGGATCCTTGCGGTCCTGAATGCATGCCTGATGGCGGGCACCTGGAGTAGGGTGTGGGCATAGGTGGATGGGATTCACCTGGGCTGAGACTGGGCTTTTAAGGGTGTCACAGGGACGCCTGCAGAAGCCGAGAACGAAAGAGAAGCCGAGAGAGAAGCAAGAGAAGCAGAAGCTGAGAGAAGGCCAGGGAGCCCAGATAGAATGAATACTTGCTAGGGGCTGGGCCCCCCAGCACCCTTACCTGGCCCCCCAGCACCCTTACCTTCCGTGTACCAGGTAAATCCCAATAAAAAGACCTGCAAAAAAACCCCTGAGGGCTCTGACTCCTCCTTTACCCGGTCTGCATGGGATCAGAAAACCTGCACTGGTCCATTCCTGACCCTACAACCAGGTACACGGCACGCAGGGGTGCTGGGGGGCCGGGAGGCTGGCAGGCTTCCCAGCCCCCAGCAAGTCTTCACGCTGTCTGGGCTCTCCGGCCTTCTCTAGCATTCTCTCTGCTTCTGTCATGGTTCTGCTTCTCTGCTCTTGTTCTCTCTGCTTCTCGTGGTACTCCTTCTCTCTGTTGGCGTCCCCATGATGCCGCCCTTATAAGCCCCGTCTTAGCCCAGGTGAATCCCATCTGCATATGCCCACACCCTGTTCCAGGTGCCCGCCATCAGGACCGCAAGGATCCATCATCTATCCTGATGACAGGAGGGCAGAAAAGCCTGATACTTTTTACCTTACCCTACAGGATCTCTTAACAAATTTTTTTTGTGTGTTTCTTCATCTTGTACGGGAAACTCCAGCAGATTGGCATTCATCAGCTAGTCAGACCCATCACATGCTCTTCAAATGAATCAAATTTGGGATTCTCAACATTTTCTGTGTTAAATAAGGTGTGGAATTAGCAGAATCGATGAAGAAGAGTTTTCCTTGCCACATTGGCTGTCTAGACACCATTTGCATTGGGATTGAAAGATGGACAAGTACAGATATTTCTTGGTCTGAGTCTCTTTAACAGTAGAGACGTAGGAGGGAGAACGAGATCACGAAGAGACTGGCTGTGGACTTCAGGGCACCAGCACTTGCCGTAGCGGTTATTAGTTGGATTTGGGGCTGTCAAGGTAGTCTGGGTAGAATTACTTGCAGTAATTACAGAAGTTGTGGTATGTGAATAAATCTGCGTGGGTAGGAGCAATGCCAGAAGCAGCAGCCCCAGTCCCAGCCTGGCTACCATCACTCTACCCATGTCCGCTCTGTCGTGCACAGCGCTTCTCGCTGGATGCAGGATGCAGGGTGCGCAGAGAACACAAGGCTCCCGGCAGGCGCAGGCAAAGTTTTTGTTCAATTTTTAAATGTGTAATTTTGTTGATACTGAGTTGTAGTTCTTTATATGTTCTGTCTATTAACCCCTTATCAAATATGTAATTTGCAGATATTTTCTCCCATTACATGAGTTGTCTTTTCACTTTTGATTATGCCCTTTGATACGCATAAGCCTTTCATTTTGGTGAGTCTGAGTGATCCATTTTTTGTTATCTATGCTTTTATTTTCATACCCAAGACATCATTACCAATCCCAATATCACAAAGACATTCCCATTTTCTTCTGAAGTTTTTTTTAATATATGGGCTTTAGATTTCCATTTTTGATCTACTTAATTTTTCTAGAGGTAAGAAGGGCCCAACTCTAACTTTTCACATGTGACTATCCAGTTTTTTTCAACATAATTTGTTGAAAAGGCTGTCCTTTCCTCATTGAAAAATCTTGGCACCCTTGTCAAAAGTCATTTGCCTGTATGTATAAGTGTTTCTTTCTAGATGGAGCATAGAAATAGACTTTTTTTGAGTTTATATGAGGATGAGGTGATGATTGTCACAAGAAGTAAGACAGTCAAGTTTCTTGCTTAAATAATGTCTCAGATGAAGGGTGCATGGGGTGGGACTTTGTAACATTTTTTTTCTACTGGAGGGAATCTTGAAGGCAGCTCAGATCTCATCTCAATTGTGACCAGTTGGTTAGATTGTGGTGATGCTGAATGTTGCTAGAGGCATTGTGAGTGGAAGCCCTACATACTATGGGAGGAAATGATGTGCGTAAGATATGAGCAACATTATAAAAAGCATCCTTAGATACTAGAAGGTAGGCAGTATAGGGGCTACACGTTGAGGACTTGCTTCCCATGCTGTTTGGCTTTCAGTAGGTAGCAGATGACTAGACTTGTTCATGGGGCTATCTTGGAAAGGGTCTCAAAAAATAAGGTTGGTTGACATGATGGGATTGGTAGACTATGGTGGTGGTGGCCAGCTGGCGCCAAGAAATTGAAATTGGAGGTGCTTACCACATCTCATCCAAGTGGGCACCCATCCTAAATAGTTGGCATCTAAACAGCAGAGACCGAATCTTACTCACTTCAATATTCTCAGTGTCAGGCAGCTTCTATTACACAATAGATGCTTAATAAATGCTTGAATTGAGTTGACATTAAGAAAATGAAACAGCAACGGGTTTCTGAAATGAGAAAACTCAGTTCTTCATAGTTAATTAGCAACAACTTCTTATGGCTAATTTAAATTTTTATATTACACGAAGTTCATTTTTCCTTTCCTCAAAAGAGATGAAGACTTGATCACGATCCTTTGTGGAAAAAAAAATCTATTAATAATGATATTTATTACCACTTATTAAGCACCACTCATCTGCAGGGATGACATCTTGCATTTGATGTGTATTGTATTTAGTCCTTGCAACAATCTTCAGGTAAGCAAATATCATCTTCAATGTGTATTTGATACTGAGGCTCAGCAATATTAAGGGTCCTGCTTAGGTTACACAGCTAGCAGTTGAAAAGCTAGAATTATATTCAAATGGGTCCCACTTTTCTTCTCTGAAAGCCCTTTTAACTTGTTTCTACCTAGAAGCTTCTCATCTTCTAGCATGTTCTTCTAGGGTAAATACTGATAAATGCATTTTCTTCAGTCTCTAATCATGCCCCTTGCAAACAAATTATTAATAATCTTTTGTCTCTGGCCTTTCCCCAAGTTCTCCATGTTCCTGAAGTTTGGCATTAACCCAGCCTTTAAAATACCATTCAGTGGGGCAAAAGATACAAATTTTGATTTCAGCGAAAGTGTAGAATCATCTTCCTTTTCATTTTAAATCAGTGTAGAAACTATTTTGCACCTGCTTACATATTCACAAAAAGTCACATTTTTAAAGTGGACAAATAAAAAAGAATAACAACCACCGGGAGGCCTGATGAGAACTGGGAGATGAGGCTTTGTGTACTTAGCACAACCAGTTGCATGAAAAGGACACCAGGAGAAAACATTAAACATCTGGGCCAAACATTTTCTAGGTTCGTTTTCTAGGTCTAGTACTGTACACCAACGGTAGAGAGACAACAGCATTAAGGAGACAAAGCAGGGCAACCACTGTGGTGTGGATTTTTAGTTTCTCTGTGGCCTACAGCAGAGTAGCTCAAGGCATGGGTTGTGACTGGATGCGTTTCTATGAACTGTTTTGTTCTATCTGTGACAAAGTAAGTAGCAATTAACCGAGCAAATCTATAACTGTTGAATCTAGTAAAAATCATGGACTTGTATTTTGTCAACTTTATTTTTTTCCTGTTCAACCTTTCATTCCTAAAATCTGTTGCATAGCTGTGTACACTGATTGGGTGGTAATAATGAGAGATTGTAGAGCACATTTCTGTGAAATAATTCAGAGAGGCAAGAAAAAAAGCTCATGGCCTCTGTAGTCTTCCTATTCCCAAGGCTAAGCTAGGGCTCTTTCTGGGCTGGCAGGGGGTGGGGGGATCGGACATTTAAAGTCCAGTTCTCTGAGATCAGTTACGAGTCACTCTTGCTACAATTTTCTATGACCTTGCATTTTTCTTTGGGTCACTGGAGCAGTATTTGGTTAATCTGTTTGTGAATATTGCCTACTCTCTCTACACCACAGTGTGGCTTGTTCTGCCAGTAAGCTTTCCCAGTGGTAACTGAGCCGGGCTGAGTGTCTGAGGAATGACAAACCCTAGATCCATTAGCACCATATTGACATTGAATGCGTCCTAAATAGACCTTGTGTATTTCAATAGCTCTGTCTTCTCCTCAAATACAGTATTTTATTTGTCATATTATGTTGTATTACTGAGTAAGTCTTCAAGGAAAGATAATGCCCACCCCTGACGTAGTTAAGATCTTTGATTTGTCAGGGTTTTCTGCTTTTATGATTCAAACTTTCCTAGTCCAAACATTTTTTCATGTAAAAAATGTATTAAGATATGAAAGTAGAGGCTCCCAGGTTGAGAAATGCTGTCTCTTTCAAAAGCTATTTACTGCTTAAACTATGAATAAATTCCCCAAGGCGTGATGAACCAAGAGTAATTTATATTCATATATAGACAAGATTATGGTATACAGTTGCATAACAAGAATAAAATTTTATGTAAATATGCCTAAGAGAAGAAAGCATAAAAGATTACAAAACTTACACAAACTAAGAAAATGTTCAACAGAGTAATAACCAAAGCTTCATTAACTTGGCAGTCTTGGGGACCTAGAAAGTGAGGTAGCCCGAGCCAAATTCTTTTGGCGTTACAGTTCCTTCTACACCAGGCCAAGCAGCTGGCAGTGGAATTGGAGTAGGGGTAAGCCCTGTGTATTGTGTGCTACATCATATTGTAGGTGAAAAACAGCAAACAGGGAATTCATTATTCCAGAGAATTTCACTGTGCACATGATCAGCTTCTGCATGTACTTGTAGGAGAAACAACCCTATTAAAATGTCTTTTAAAAAGTCAAAGTTAAATGACTAAACATTAAAACTTTGAGAGATGGGGGTGGGGGATCTATGAGGAAAATGGCGGCTTGCTTATTCAGGGAATGAGCAGAACTTAATTCTTATTCCAGCATAGGGCTGCTGGGCACCCAGTTTCTTTCACTCTGGGTAGAAAACAAATCCCCAACTTGCTACTGAGCCAAATCTTAAAGGCCAGTCAGGAAATGAGCAGCACTCCCAAATGGGAAAGTCGGGATCAATGTTTTTTCTAAAGTAAACAAAAGATCTGCAGAAGTATTTCCTTGCACTATTTGGCAAGAGAAAGAAGCACCTGGAGAGTGAGTTAGGAAGAGAAAGCATATAAGAAATGGGAGTAAAACAAGGATGGTTATAATGAAGTTTTGTCTCACTAATCTCCAGAGCCCAAGTGTTCTATTAAGAAACAAAGCTACAAATGAAGAGATGCTCAGAAAGATTGGTTGATTAAGAATACATTCATGGAAAGGATAAATAGAACAAATACTTTTCTGGATCCCAAATTTCACCTTTCAGTTGCATTTTTAAAAGCCTTTAAAAACATCTAGAGAGTCAAAGTGAAATATATACAGCAAAATAAATGAGGGCTTTGAAGGAAGAAGTATGAGCAATGAGAAAAGCAATTATCCTTAGAGACAGAAATTTCCTTGCTTCAATGTGGCATGTGATGCTGGCAATTTCAGCCATTCTCTTTCAGGTGATTTTCAGTGCAAGTTCCAAATGTTGCTTGACTCCCTCAGCTCACCTGAGGGAGTGGGGCGTAACTAAAGATGTATGAAGAGCTATAACATTCTTTATGCCAAACATTCTGTTCATCAGGAGAGCCTCAGGAGAAAGACCAGTTACTCTTGGGAGACAGGTAAGAGAAATGAGGCAGTAATTGCAGTGTGTTGCTTGTGTTATGTAGCATTAAAAAAAAACAAAACAAAAACTAATGCAATTGACTCAACAACATCTTAATAATTTTAAGAACTCACACATACTTTTTTAGCACTTTTTCCCAAAGAAAAATGCTTAACGAGGGTCCTCTCTGGTGGCACAGGAGTTAAAGTTTCCTTGATATCAAGCTATTGCCGGCCACTGAAGCATGACGTTGATCCCCAGCAAGGGGGCTAACCCACATGGCGCAGCAGACCTCTCCAGTCCTGCCTGCTGCTCCCCTCAGCAGTATATTTCAGTCAGTCTGCCTGTTCTACTCCCCACTTTGTCTCTGGTGAATGATCTCACCTCCCACACCTCTGGCCTACACCCCAGTTCTTGTATGCATTAACAAATAAATAAATAAATAAATAAATAAATCCTTAAAAAAAGAAAAAAGGTTAAAGACCCAAAAGGTGATTGCTACTCCCCAAAGTTTTTTTTTTTTAAACATATAATAATTGGTATGTAAATATTAGCTAAGAAAGAAGCTAATTTCTGTTTTTTGTGTAGTGAACTAGGAAGTGTCACATAAGGGAACAATGTGTTGAAGAATTTGTAGGCCCATAGCAAAACTCATGTTTTTTAGACCAAACCCCATCAGCCCAAGTAGGAGAGATGCTGCTTGGGGCTTTTTAGGAGGCAAGCAATGGCTCACTTGATTTGGTAACTGCTGATAGAAAAGCAGGATTTTCTGGGACCCACGATCTATTTAGGGCCTACCTGTTCCAGAAAATCAAAGATAAAGATGCAGATCATTGGGACTCCAAGGACACAGCTAACTGGACATTATTTGTGACTATTTGAAGTACATGTGCTCCCAAAGGATTTTTTTCCTCCTTATGTAATGTTAAAGTGTATTTGTTTATTCACTTGCCTCTAGTTGTACTTTACTAAATGTTAAGTGGTTGTGAAACCACATGCACCATAGAATCCAAAGCAGCCATTTTCAACTCTTGGACAAGTAGTGGTACTTTGTAGTTTGCCTCTGACAAGCTCAGAGGCAGCTGAAGGCAGGGCTGTCTTTGACCATCCGCAAGTTTTAATGTGCTCCGTCCATCTCATGCCAGCCTGGCTTGCCACAGTTACAGTCACTCTGCATTGTGACGCTTCTGGATGGTGCTCACAGGAGTTGTGCTCTGCAGTCCCCTGGGCCTCTCCTGCAGGTGCACTTGCTTTTTCAATATGATACTGTTTTTCTTACCCTCTGTAGGCACTCACAAGCACAAGTATCATTGCTTGTTACTGTATGTTGCTGATTCATACTCAGAGGAAAAAGTAATTTTATCTTCAACACCTCTTCCCTGTCATTTAAGGCATATGTTAATGAAAGATTTTGGCATCCACTCTTGTCTGTAGCTTTGAGGCCACAATATAGATTCATTATACATGAAGAGGCAACTGTTATTTTACTTCTATTTATATTTATAACTATATCAAAGCCATCTTGCAGGTACCTTTGTGCCTCTTAAATCCCAAACCATATTCCAAGAAATGCTCAACATTTCATGCTTGAAGTGGCATTAATGTGGCGTTAATGTACATACAAAGTTTTAAATAAAGATGTTTTCACTCACATTTTATTGTTGACACTCTTGAATTCACATATTTTAGATTATGCTAGAGCTGAAACCCTTTGAAGACACTGTTAGGGCTTTTTTTCTCCCTTGCAGTGCAGACATTTTTTTTTCTTTAAGTGAGGAGTATGCAAGTGATGGGTGCTTTGCCTGCTCGGAGGGAAGCCAAGTGCAAGGCTGAAGCCTAGAGGGGGTGGGGCAAGAGCAAAATAACACCCAGAATGCTGAAAAGAACAGATCAAAAGCTTTTGCCTTTGTCATTTCTCTTAGTTCCTTTCCTTCTCATCCCAGTTTGTAACTGTGGACAAGTGCAATCCACTTATTTCAGAGAATCACTGGATTTGAATAAGCTGAAACCTTGAAGGTTGTCTGATCCAAACTCCCACCCATTGGTATAATGCTCTACTTGATTCAGAAGCTTTCCCCTCCTGCACGTTTCTAAGCAGCATTTGAGTCTGTCAGTGGAAAAGTATGTTGATGAGAGTAGAGGTTTTGGAATCAGACAGTTCTGGGTCCAAATTGTGGCTCTGGCACTGACTTAGCAGCAATATCCTGGGCAAGCTGCCCAACATCTCAGAGCTACAGTCTAATCAGTTAAATTATTATAATAAAAATTCATAGATGTTGAGATATAAATGAAGGAATAATGCAGCACATAAAAGTGTAGTACATAAAAAATTAGTGCTCAGAGATAAATTAAGAGTAGCTAAGAGGTTCGACAGGAACTTAGGACCCATGCTTCCTGTCTGACTCGGAGGCAACACATTTCAGGGCATCTTACTCTTTCTCACAAGGCCTCATAAAACCATTGAAAACATTTCTGTTTGTGGAGTACTCTGTATGCTGCCTGCAGATTGTAAATGCTGTTATTAATAACAATACCTCATATCTATTCAGAGCTTTAGAATTTACAACATACTTTCACAAATGTGGAAAATACCCAGCCAAGTAGTCCTCTACTGATGACTAATAGTGGCAGGAAGCAGAACGAGCCTCTGCTCTGAAAGAAGTCTATTAGTGATGCAAATGTGAAGTTATCTGCACTTGTGAGGAGCATAATAAACATTAAAACCAATTAGAGGTAACAATGCATGACATATTCAGGCTCTAGAACTTGGCTTTGATGAGTTGGAAAACCAAAGGAATTGAGAAAGCACGGAATTTGGGGGCAAGAATTTCAGTTACCTTTAGTTTAACAGTTTAAATGGTTTTGAAGCCCAGAAGTCTGGTTCTCTGCATATGGGTGAATTTTCTTGTAGAAACCAGAGCATAACAACAATTTAGATTGCATAATGGTAGCAACGATGATGTGATCATAATCTAGAGACAAAGCATATGGAACTGAGACAAACAATGCAAATAAGTTCTCAGAAGTCAACATTAACTGGGTGTTTCAATAAAACAAGTGTGTCACACTGAATGCAAAACTTTTAATAATAGAAGCTGTTACCCAGGCTCTCTTACAACCTTATGAAACGGTTCTTCATGTGTATGAGAATTTTTACAAATGCTCAAAATTGAATTTTTAGAAATGGAGAAAAATGGAGGGTACATTTTTAATATAGTACATTTCATTGTTTCTGTTTTACAAGAAGATGAAGAAATATACTTTTTCTTTTAAAAAGAAAATGGTCTTATTGAAATTCAGTTCACTCAGAAGATGAATTTTTAAATGTCAAACTCTGCCTATCTAACTGGTCCGTATGGATATGAGGGGAAAATCAGAATTTCAGAAAATTATCAAATATTTTAAACTAATACCCAAGCAGATACATTTGCAATACTTCCTGATTTCTTAATATAGCTATGGGCAATGTTGCCAATCAAGTGTTTCTCTTTTTTTCCCCTCTCTGCCAAAATCTACATTTTTGTCTGCAGCAAATTGTAAGAATGGGGTTTCTTCAGTTGGCTGAGAGAGACTGACCAGAGAAGCAGAAGACACTGGTAGAAATGGCCCTACGGAGAAGTCACTGGAAGAGAAGGCCTATGCTAGACAGTACCCAAAAGAGCCCAGTTTGTGTCTCGCAGTTCAATTTTGGTTGATATATTTTTGAAGTTTCTAAAGGTTAACTATATGCTGTAATACATCATAGAAAGACACAAAGCCTGATTTTTACCGCGCCAGTTAAGAGGTTTGTTTGAATCTGCTATTTAGGACTGAGAGAGACAGTACAATTTACATGTGTGAGAATGTGAGAATAATTTTACCTTCTGTTGTTTTTAAAACCACCTTGGGCCATGATTTTTAAATTGAGACACAAGAAGATCTGCTGGGGTTCCCATAGCAACATTAACTTATCTAACTGCCCTTGTATGTAATACTTTCATTACTATTGTCGCTTTTAAACTTACACTTTAATTATGAAATATAACTGAGTTGAGAGTCTCAGGCAAGTTTTAGCTGTTGCATTTACGGACTGATGTATGTTTAACTAAACCCTGATATTGTACTTCTAAGGAGTTGATATCAAGGAAGTTTGTTAAAAAAAAAACAAAACAAAAACTTAATGTGGTCTTCCTCGCCCCCATCTCTGACCTTGCTGCAGAGTGTAATCTCCATAAAAAGGGAAGGTTCTATGTGCCTGCACCACCTAATGAAGCCTGGAGATGACTGGAGAGAAGACTTGGAAAAAGACTTGTGGAGACACTTGGAAGAAGAAAACATAGGAGGGGAAACGTGTGGAGCAAAGAGACATGTGAAGAATATGCTTGCTTCTCAGTCTTGGCCTTGCACCAGGGACTAGAGGGACATGGAAGAAATGCATGGGGGAGAGACATGGGGAAGCTGACAATGGCAGCCTTTATCCTGATTTGTACTTTGATTTTGCTACTTTCATTCCAGACTTGCCTGCTCCCTTCTGCCAATTTCCTCTGGCTCCCCACCAGAAGGTGCCTTAGACTTATGGCAAGCTTTTGAGCCTCAATTGCCTTGCCTTGGGCCAACCCTGTCTGGCTAGGCATTTACCCATGAGGGGCAACTGGATGTTTCTTTCTTTCTTTTTTTTTTTTTTTTAAAGATTTATTTTTGCATACAAGAACTGGGGTACAGGTCAGAGGTGTGGAGGGTGAGAGGATTCACTAGAGACAGAGTGGGGAACAGAACAGGCAGACTGAAATACACTGCTGAGGGGAGCAGCGAGCGAGACAAGGGAGGTCTGGGGATTGAACTCATGCTGCAGAGGCTTTGGATAGCTTCACGGTGCTGCGCTTAAGCCCCTGCACCACCAGGGAGGCCCCACCAGTAGTTTCCCCAATTGGGAAACTACTTCCTTTCTCTTCTTCCTTCCTTATGCACAATCATGCTATTAAAGATCTTTCACACTAAGAATATGCTTTGTCATTATGTAGCATATGCATAATGTACTCTTGAGAGTACAGGTTTGGGGTCCTGGAACACCCCTCAGTTTGTACACTAGCAACCTCAGCGCTTTCCACTCTATAGATGACTCCTCAATCAATCTCTCAAAATACATTTAGAACATGCCATGGCAAGGATAAAATGGAAAGAAACGAACCTCAGATGGCTCCAGTCTAGAGATTAGAATCCATCTTTTCAAATCCTTTTTTCAAGGCTAACTATGAGCTGATTCCCACACCATCTTTTTTCTACTTTTCTTTTTCAAGACTGTACCACACCAAACACACTTGTCTTCTCCCCACATTCTGATAATGTACATTCAAGGCCTAAACATACTTCCTCCCAGAACCCTGCTTCTTCTCTATTCTTTCCAGAGCTGATATTTCTCTCTCTTCAGAACTGCTATTACTACTGTCTACCACAATAAGACATGTTGTTTGTGACTGGGTAGCATCCCTTCCCTCTTTTGTTAATTTTTGTTTGAGGAACTTTATTCTATACATTCTGACAATAAAGCTACCCTGCCCCAGCCTATCAAGAGATGAATCTATGACCCACATTGGACCAATCACATTCTTCCAGGAAGTGGAATTTTTAGAGAATTTAAACAGGGAAAACAATAGGAAATGAATTATTCAGGTGGTCCCTTCAAGAAATTGTCCATTTCTTCCAGATTGCTATAGCTCATAATCAAAGTCCCTAATTGATAAACTGTAAGTGCTTGCTCACACACTAACATCTTAGGATCATGATTTAGAGGTTTGGATGTGTGTTTTTGCTTTGACTGTTAAATCTTATTCATGCTCTCTGAAGACAGGGCTGGGTCTCTGTATTACTTCATAAATTCAGCACAATGTAAGTACTCAGTAAACATTATATAACAGATGAAAAATCTTTCTTAGAAACTCCATTCTTACAGTGTACAACATGGAAGCCAACTTATATATCCTTTTGAGGAAAGGTCATAACTGACTTTTTAATTGCCATAATTTGAATTATTTTCCTTGGGTATAACAGTTGTCTTGAAGAGAACTTACAACAACTTGTATATCTAATAAGTCTGAATTTAATGTTAGCATGAGTCATACTTCCCCAATTTTAAGAAAGGAAAGAGAAACTAAATTCTATTTCAGACATGAGTCTCTGAATTAAAAAAAAAAAAATAAAACAACACACACAAAACTTTGGGGGAAAACAAACAAAACCAAAAGCAATACACATTCCTCTTGATCTTGTGACTTGCCCTGAAAACCAGGTAAGCTGCCTTTCTGTTATCACCTAACAATAGACAAGATTTCAGTTGTGTCTGACTAATGCATATATAAGTAGACAATTTTTTTCTCCCTCTACAAAATGGCAGATTATGGTTTCTCAGAATCATCTGACTTATATTGGTGATTGAATTGGATATTTATAAAATTCAAAGAATACAACATGGTGTGACATAATAAACCCAAAAAAGCTTGGGCATATTAAGATTTGAAAATCCAGAATTTGGTAACACTTTCAAATCATTTACATGTGGTTACAAAGCACCAAATAGCTCACCTATGATAAACAGCAGGATTTACAACTGCTCTCCTTCCTTTCGGATTGTCTTTTCAGAAATGAAGTATTTACAGAAATCAGAAATCTTTGAATAATGTCGTCCTCTGGTTTGCACCTTAACATGTTCCACAATTCAGTCTGAGAAAGAAGTGAAAACACCAATCTGGAGCTTTTTTGAGTCAAGTGTAATGTTGTGTGGAATTTGTCTTGAGCCCACACTCGGTCCATTTTCACTTCTTTTTTCCTATTAACTTGTAAGCAAGTGTAGTGGTTTCTGGAATTTGCCTTGAACCCACACTCGGTGTATTTTCACTTGCTTTTTCCTATTAACTTGTAAGCGACGATCAACCAGATTTTGCTTCTCGTCTAACCCAGCCATACAGAATATATTGTGGACTTCCCCTGTGAGATAAAAATAGCAATTAAATGTATGATATGTGACTGGGGCAAGGACAGAAGCATTCAGGAAAAAATGGAATATCAATGGAATGACTGACCACCTAAATTTCACTTATTCTAAGAAATTCTCCCTAGAACAAGTTGGTGAAGGGAATATATAGACTCAAGTGGGTTTTTCTTCAAATACACCAAATATAAATAAGTTAAGACAGCAGACATACACAGATGTATAACATTACTGATTTTGCAGCTTTCAATATTGTGAAAGGTGCCCCTTGTTTGAATTTTCATTGATTTGCACAGACTGTAAATGGCACAGTATAAAAGTATGTAAGTTTGGAGAAAGTCCTTCAACTCAGGTTTCATTTCAAAAGTTGTTTTCTTCCTTTTTAATGAGAAATTGACAAGAGATAAATAATTTTCTATGGGCTCTTAAAATGAAATTCCTCCTTTAGCTATATGTCAATTTTTTCAAATCTGCGCTAACCATATTTCCAAAATGGAAGAGACTACACCTTCATTTGATGTGAGGATGAAACTAGAGATTCCTTAAAAGTAATTTCAACTAGAAAAAGATTAAAGGTAAAGGCTATCTTCAAGTTTTTATGTAGAATAGCCATCAAAGTGTGACGATATCCAATAGTTAATTAACTACTGAAGCCTTATTTTTAGAGTTTTTGAGTTCTCCCTGTACACAATGACTAGAGAGAGTTTTTACAGCTAATTACTTCTTTGTATAGATAAGCATACCTTTTGTAAAGAAATATGCTCTGGTACCATCTCCTCGAACATAAAAATTTTCTGATAAACAATGCCCTAAAAAAGGTAAGAGAAACTTAGTATTCCTTAAACAAAAATAAAAACTAGACATGAAATAGAAACAGAGCATTCCTTATAACACAGGAAAATAACTAAGTTGAAAACACTATTACCTCTTTTAAAACGAAGCTGAGTCTTGTCATATCTTCCATAGTCCCGAAATAATAGCATTCCTCCAGGTTTCAGTAACTTGGACAGTCGGTTTACAACACCTTGCATCCTTTGAGAACAGAGCAAGACACTCTATGGAAATCTTTTACATTTAACCTTGTTAAAGATAAGATCAGTAAATTTTAAGAAGGTCAGATCTAAATCTCATACAAAAAAGCAATAAAAAACCAAAAAATATTCTGTATAGAAAGAAAGGATATCAACTTTCTATTCAAAATGCCTAGAGTATCAAGAAATCACCCACATGACCAGTGGCAACTTCACAGAGTTTGATGTATGATGTCAAAGTTTAAATATAAAACCTGACAGACATTTCCTGATACTTACAACCAATTAAGGTAGTTTCAAGGTAGATAAAAGCTGGAGTCACTTCATTTTCTTCACCAGATAAAAAATATGCCAGATCTATCTGAAATCGTACACATTCAAAGGTGATTCAAAAGAATCACCTTTTGGGCTTACCTGGTGGTGCAAGGGGTGGGATGCAACCTATGAAGCTGTCTGCAGCCACTGCAGCACAAGTTTGATTCCCTGCCAGCCAGGGAATGGCACAGCAGACCTCTCCTGTCTCGCCCGCTGCTCCCCTTAGCAGTGTATTTCAGTCAGTCTGCCTGTTCTGTTCCCCGCTTTGTGTCTGGTGAATCCCCTCACCCCCTTTCCCCCATACCTTGTATGTGTAAACAAATAAATCTTTAAAAAAAAAAGATCACCTTTTCCCCAAAACTAGCTCCTTTTCCTCACTTCTTTACTTAGTTCAAAGGGGCCATCATTCACCAAAGTGTAGCACCTCAGAGGAATTTTTGATCCCTTTTATTTTTTTATTTTTTTCCATTATTCTTTCCACAACCGCCTGGTCATCAAATTTTGTTTCTTCTTCTTTTTTTCTTTTTTGTGACATCTTGATATTTCCACTCTCCTGTATTCCTCAATACTCAGTGCAAAGTCTTGTCTCCTTAGGCCTGGAAACAGAATAACTTCCTAACATTTTTTACTATTCTCTGTGTCAATTCATTCTGAATATTATTGATGAATTAATCTGCTTAAAATGATGGTTTGTCAGATCATCCATTTGCTCAAAATTTTTCATAATTTTAATCCATGGGATAAAAATCTTAATTTCTTTGTTTGACCCCTTAAGATTCCCTATAACTGGCCTCAATCACTCTATCCAACTACTTGCTAATCTGAAGCATATCTTCTAGCCAAACGGTTACATGCTTGGCTCTGAACAGTTCATGCCTTTGTTCACGTGGTTTCCCCTCAAGGAATTCTTTTCCTTACTCTGCCTATTTAAATTCTATTCACATTCCATCCTCAGCTCAATACTGGGAAGCTTTTACTTTCTTTTACTGTTTATTCCACTCATCTGGCTCCCAATCATGTATTACAACCTTTTCTAACAGTTCGTGATTTAATTTTTTTGGTTAAGTGTTCATGTTCTTTTGTGTGACTAGGGTCAGAGATAGCAAGGATTTCAGATCTTTTATAACTGCCCAGTGACTGACACAGCCCGCCTCCCACAGCTCTGATGAGAAGGACTCTCAGGGCTCCTTGGGAGTGAAATCAGAGTACAAAACCAGTCGTCAGTGTCTGTCCTGGGCAAAGGATGGTAAAAGGCAGCTTGTGTGATACGACTTTGCCATCTCTGTTTTAACTAAGCTATTTTAAGCCTCTGAGCTTTCCTTATTTTAAAGAGGGGTTGGATCTAATAATCTATAAATTCCTTCCAATTCAAACACTGCTCAGTGCAATGATGGGGTAAAAGTCGGATTATGCCAGGTTATGAAGAAAGTAGATAGTGAGAAAATGAAAGTAACTATGAAATCAAGAGATAGGACAGTACGATGTGACATGATCAGATAAAAAGCTCTTTTTTTTTTTTTTAAAGGAACATAAATACATTAAAGGGAAAAAGAAGTGTTTTCCTTGTTTATTTTTATTACAGGTTATTTTCACAATGTGCTTATATGTTTAGACTTTGGCAATTAAAGAAGATAATATCTAAATCTGAATTATTCACTTTCAGGATAAAGGCTTCATGAACAGAGGAAAATCTCTCTCTACAATTATTAGTAAAATAAGCATGAAATGAAAATGCAGAAAAACAAAGAACCCAATACTTCAAAATGTAGCTACCTCCTGTAAATCTTTTCCTCCAAATTATTCTTTAATGTCTGGGGTTATAGGTAAAAGTAAGTGGTGGAAAACTATTTTTTTGATCATCCTGTCATGGCTCATAATGGAATTCCAGAGTTAGTTTCTGAGGACTGGAGGTGGGAATAGGCTAGCCGTGAGATCGACAAGACAAGCATAGGGGAAAGTCCCTTTTCTTTATCTAATTTGGGCCAACACTACTATCCTTACCTATCTCTGGATAGAGGCAGCAAAGAAGAAAAAGAAGAGTTAAAACGGGTGTTACTGACTGCCTTTCTCTATGCTTAGAGCTGTAGTAAACATACTTTCACTCCGGTGAAAAGAAGAATAATTAATTCTGCTTTTTTTAGGTAAATGGGTTTATTCTCATGTAAGCTGGGACTTCTCAGATTCAGGATCTAGCTGAATTGCTTGTCATTCATCTGTGCATGAATTTTACAAGATGGCAAAAGTCACTTTTTAAAAACTTTCTTGAGTCTACTACCACAGTCCTAAATGACCCTAAATATACTGACTTTACTTTTCACTTAATTGTTATCTTTATTTTACTAATTAACCTTTTTTAAAAAAGATTATTCCAATGGAAGTAAAAAAGTGGCAACTGACATGAGATATATCTGAAATTATTTTATAATAAATAAATAAAATGAACATATAGTACTATAAAAACAATCTTCTCAAGCCATCTACTTTTCTTGCTTTTTAATACTCAATTCAATCAATGAGAAAGTATAACATATAGTATTTTCAAATAGTCTTTTTTTTTTAAATAATAAATTTTATTGTTATATTCCCCATACAATTGCAGCCCCCCATTCTGACCCCAATCCCTCCCCTCCCCCCGCCCCCCTAAAAGTGTCTCTGGTTCATAGTTTTTTGTTGATTTTGATTTTCACTTTCTTAAAGTTATTCATTTTCCTGGTCCCTTATTTAAGTTTTCTAGATTCCTGTTATGAGTGAGATCATCCGGTATTTTTCTTTTTCTTTTTGGCTTATTTCGCTGAGCATGATCCCTTCCAGCGCCATCCATGTTGCTGCAAATTGCATGTGTTTATCTTTTTTGAATGCTGAGTAATATTCCATGGTATATATGTACCACATCTTCTTGATCCAGTCATCTATTTTTGGGCATTTGGGTTGTTTCCAAAGCTTAGCTATTGTAAACAGTGCCGCTGTAAACATAGGGGTGCAGGTGCTCTTTGGAATTGATGTTTCTGTGTCTTTTGGGTAAATACCTAGGAGTGGAATTGCTGGATCATATGGAAGTTCTATGTTTAGTAGGTCCAGAAATCTCCACACAGCTCTCCATAGTGGTTGGACCAGTTTGCACTCCCACCAACAGTGCAGAAGAGTTCCTTTTTCTCCACAACCTCGCCAACATTTGTTGTTGCTAGTTTTTTTAATATGTGCCATTCTCACTGGTGTAAGATGGTATCTCATGGTAGTTTTGATTTGCATTTCCCTGATGACAAGTGATGTTGCATTTTTTCATATGCCTGTTGGCCATTTGCATTTCCTCTTCAGAGAAGTTTCTTTTTAGCTCTTCTGCCCATTTTTTGACTGGATTATTTTCTTTGTTGTTGTTGAGTCTCGTCAGCTCTTTGCAGATTTTTGTGATCAGTCCTTTATCATTAGTGTTGGGTGCAAAAATGTTCTCCCAGTTGGTGGGGTTTCTCTTTGTTTTTGTTATTGTCTCTTTTGCTGTGCAGAAGCTCTTTAATTTGATGTAGTCCCAGCTGTTTATCTTTGCCTTCACTATCACTGCTTTGGGTGATGTGTCTGTAAAGATGTCTTTGATGTGCAAATCACGTAGTGTTTCGCCTATATTTCCTTCTATATATTTTATGGTTTCAGGTCTTATGTCTAGTTCTTTAATCCATTTTGAGTTGATTTTTGTGTATGGTGTGAGGTAGTGGTCAAGCTTCATTCTTTTGCATGTAGCAACCCAGTTTTCCCAGCACCATTTATTGAACAAACTTTCTTTGCTCCAATGCATAGTCTTTGCTCCTTTGTCAAAGATTAGTTGACCATAAATCTGTGGGTTTATTTCTGGATTTTCTATTCGATTCCATTGGTCTGTATGTCTGTTCTTGTTCCAATACCATGCAGTTTTGATGATTATGGCTTTATAGTATAGTTTGAAGTCTGGGAGTGTGATGCCTCCATTCCCTTCTTTTTTTTCAGGAGAGCTTTGGCTATTCGGGGTTTTTTTGTGATTCCATATGAATTTCATCAATAATTGTTCTATTTCTTTGAAGAATGACATTGAAATTTTGATTGGAATAGCACTGAATCTGTATATTGCTTTTGGAAGGATGGCCATTTTAATAATGTTTATTCTTCCAATCCATGAGCAGGGGATGTCTTTCCATTTCTTTGTGTCTTCTTCTATTTCTTTTAACAGTGTTTTATAGTTTTCTTTGTATAGGTCCTTTACCTCTTTTGTTAGATTTATTCCCAAATATTTGATTTTTTTGTTTCTATAACAAAAGGGATGGTTTTTTTGATTTCTTCTTCTTCAGATTTATTGTTTGTGTATAGGAAGGCTACTGACTTTTGCGTGTTGATTTTGTATCCTGCCACTTTACTGAACTGACTGATAAGTTGAATTAGTTTTTCTGTGGAGTTTTTGGGGTTCTCTATGTATAATATCATATCATCTGCAAATAGTGATAGTTTGTTTGACTTCTTCTTTTCCTATTTGGATTCCTTGGATGTCTTTCTCTTGTCTTATTGCTCTGGCTAGGACTTCCAGTATTATATTGAAAAGCAGTGGTGAGAGTGGGCATCCTTGTCTTGTTCCAGATCTTAATGGAATTGCTTTCAGCTTTTCACCATTGAGAATGATACTGGCTGTTGGCTTGTCATAGATGGCCTTTATGATGTTGAGGTATGTTCCTTGTATCCCAAGAATTTCAAGGGCTTTTATCATGAATGGGTGTTGCACTTTGTCGAAAGCTTTCTCAGCATCTATTGATATTATCATATGGTTTTTATATTTCTTTTTGTTGATGTGTTGGATAACGTTGATTGATTTTCGGATGTTAAACCATCCTTGTGTCCCTGGAATGAATCCTACTTGGTCATGGTGAATTATCTTATGGATACATTGTTGGATTCTGATGGCTAAAATTTTATTGAGGATTTTTGCATCAGTGTTCATTAGGGAGATTGGCCTGTAGTTTTCCTTTTTTGTGTTGTCCTTGTTCGGTTTTGGTATTAGTGTAATGTTGGCTTCATAGAACGTGTTTGGTATTGTCCCTTCCTTCTCAATTTTTTGGAAGAGTTTGTGAAGGATAGGCACTAATTCGTCTCTGAATGTTTGGTAGAATTCATTTGTAAATCCATCAGGTCCTGGGCTTTTGTTTTTGGGGAGGTTTTTGATTACCATTTCAATTTCGCTGCTTGTAATTGGTCTGTTTAGGTGTTCTATTTCTTCTTTATCTAGCTTTGGGTGATTGTAGAGTTGTAGGAATTTGTCCATCTCCTCTAGATTGTTAAACTTGTTTCCATATAACTGTTCATAGTAGTTACTGATTGTTCTTTTGATTTCTGCTGTGTCCGTTGTGATTTCTCCTCTTTCATTGATGATCCTGTTTATTTGTGCTTTCTCCCTTTTTTCCTTTGTGAGCCTGGCTAGGGGTTTGTCTATTTCATTGATTTTTTCAAAGAACCAGCTCTTGGTTTCATTGATCTTTTGGATTGTTTTTTTAGTTTCAATTTCATTTATTTCTGCTTTGGTTTTTATTATTTCTTTTCTTCTACTGGTTTCAAATAGTCTTTTTATGGTCTTATTTGGTAATTAAGCATTTTTTGTTATGGGTGTCAAACAGAAAATTTTGGTCTCTATCCACCTACTCCACATTTATCCTTTCAACTATGAAACAAAACACATAGATGAAATCTTTCTACCAGAACCTAAATAATGCCAATAGTCTAAACAGATTACAGAGAGGACTAGGTTATAGAAACTGGACTGAAAAAGCAGCTTCATGAAACCTGATATATATCACTAGTTATAAATACAGCTTTCATTCAGATTTAATTGGAAATCTGATCTGTTTTTCCATAAGTAATCACAGTGCTCATCTCTGAATGAGAAATAAAAGGCCTATAAAAGGGATCCTGGAGGGGCCTCCCCGGTGGTGCAGTGCTGTGAAGCTGTCTGCAGCCATTGCAGCGCGGGTTCAATTCCTGACACAGCAGACCTCTCCTGTCTCTCCCACTGCTCCCCTAAGCAGAGTTTTGGGTCTCTCTGCCTGGTCTGTTCCCCGCTCTGGCTCTGGTGAATTCTCTCACCCTCCTGCGCTTCTGACCTGTACCCCAGTTCTTCTATAAAATAAATAAATAAATCTTTAAAAAAAAAAAAGGATCCTGGCGATCTTGTAATTGCAAAGAAACAAGCACAAGTAACCCAATTTCTTTGGGAAGAGTTACACTCATCAAACAAAAAGTGGTTGATGCCAAGTCTGTATATCTTACCCGAGAGTCATGAAAACTCACCTTTAAGAAATTCTACGAAAGCACAACTCTTGACACTTGTTATATATACCTAAATACATATGAGGTGGCAAAATCTTAAAAAAAACAATTATTTTAATTGTTGGTAGTATCTCATTGTTTCCTCTCCAAAGAAAAGTTATGTGTATTGGTTCAAAACATTGTGTTAACATAAAAATTTAAATCATAAATATCTAAATGATATCACTAGGACCCCTTAGACTACAAAGGTCCAAGGTTAATCTGGCAAATCTTGAAAACTCTGAATTCCTTAATTTTTTTTAATCCCCCCTCCAATCCCCACTTCCACTAGTAGGCTTTCTTCAAATAAATTTTTAAAAGCCTGCCAATAGACCTGTGTGAAGCCAAACAGATACAGTCCACTTTTTCAGGAACATTCAGTAAATGCTAAATCAAGGATGTTTGTTTCTGATCACCAAGAACAATTTCCTCTTGTGAGTCTATTAGGCTGTTCTGAATTTGTAATTTCCTTGAAGCACTGTCACTTTTAATAGGTATGTGTCTTGCTAGAATATGCTCACTTCATTCTGACAGTGACAGAAAGCTCACTAATGAAGTAGTTTGACCAGTTTCTTTCTAAAAGTCTGAAGAAAGGAAAAACTGCATTTAAAAGACTGCATATTATACATAATGTAGTTCACTAAGTAATAAATTCAAGAATTGTCATTTTGCTTTGATAGTTCTGAAAACCACTACTGATAAAGGAGCTTTACACGTTTGCTTTGCCCTTTCATCTTCATTTACCTGTCAGGATGAATAGAAGAGAGCACAAAGACAAGGAGAATGACATCCAGGATCCCATCTGGAAAAGGGTAGGGTGAGCCATCATCACAAATGTCGTGAATGAAGGCACAGCACTGGGCTGCTCGGTAGGATGAGTGTGACTGTCATGATAAAGGAATAAAAAGAAAAAAAAGTAGTTAGCAAACTTCTTGTATTTTTCTTAAAATAAAAAGATCACACATTTTACTTCTCCCAATTGCCTTTACTCTGTAAATCTAAATGTACTTTATTTCTAATTCTATTCTGTTAGTTTGTTTTAAGATGCCATAAAAATTAAGTCTAAATTTTAGAGTTGATAGCAAATATTCTTTCCAATCTCTCTTTAATTATGAAAGTGGAGTTAAGACAAGATTTGAGTCAGTAAGCAGCATGTTATTTCAGAGGTTCTCGGATGGTCCCTCAGCCCTCTCCCTCTGTTTGTTCCATGCCTCCACAGGCTGAAAAGATAAATATCCTGTACTACACAGTCAACACTAGATAAAGGTGATGGTTACAAAACTCTGTAAAAATAACTAAAAACAACTCAATTGTACACTTTAAAATGTCAGATTTATGGTATGTGAACTGTGTATGTACATCAACAAAGCAGTTGTTTTAAAAATTCATTAGACTACACAGTCACACACATAAAATTTGCCTACAAAAACAATACTAGGGACATATATACCAAAATATTAACATTGACTCACATTAGAACCCTAGGAAGTGATTATTAGGTGATTTTTATCTTTTCCTATATAGCTTTTCAGAAAAAGAAAATGTCTATTTTAGAAAAAGTCTAAATGACTGTTTCCTTACATACTAACACATTTCATATTTGCAACCATGCCTTCTCAGACGTTTTTCTTCCCAAATTTTAAATTAATCAGGGTTGACTATGTGCTAGGCTCCATGTAAGGCTTTAGGACATAAACATAAATATCACCTTGTGTGAGCTATTTGCTTTTCTAGATGTACTTACTAGTCCCTCAACTCTATTTTAAATTTGAAATGACTTATATTGTTTTAGGATAGTATCTTAGGCATTAGTTGAAAATGAGAGTTCTAGCAATTATAAAAGTCAGTTAAAAGTGGTCACAGATTAAGATTTGATACAGAAACATTTCCCAAAAAATCACTTCAACAGCAAATAAACTATAATTTTGCAAATAAATTACATGACTCTCTTTAAAGAAAATATAAGGCATACCTTGACTAGTTCCACAGCTCTAGAAGCAAAATCACAACAATAAAGAAAGGACTCTGGAGTATCTCTATGAAAATGAAAGAAATATTTAAACCTAAAGTACAGAAAGGCTCAGACTACAGAAGAAAAGAAACTGGAGGTTTGGAGTGATTAATAATTATTTCTTTTATAAAATTTTATATGATATTTGGCTTGGCCTTTTTTTTTAATACTGTTCTCTATAGTAGTGCATGGGTGTCTTCATGTTGCTTCTGAACCAACATTGTCTCAAACATTTAATATTAATTACATTTCAAATTCCTGCTTTGGCTTAGGGGTCTCTGTTCCTTGGGCGTATCTGCCTTTATCACGTTATACTCTGAACACGGGAAATCTCCAAGGCCATCATTCAATATTGCTCATTCTCTCTCTGGTCCTCTCCCTAGGCACTTTTTCTTCTCTGCCAGAATGGCCTGTAGCTCCTCTTAGCTTAGCCAAGTTCAATCTTTTCCCAAAGTTTCTCAGATCTTGTGTGCTTTGGTACTTCATTCCTCCTCCTGTGTGTGTATAACTTATTTGGCTCCTGGGCTCCTCACAGAGGCTCTGATGCCCCAATAGGATGCAAACACACACACACACACACACACACATTACTTAGCAGCATGTAAATACAACTTCTAAAGAAGAATAAAAAACAATAATATATCAATTCTTATTTATTTTTTCAAGTTACTCTAACACTTATTGAACTTTGTATGTGCCAAATATTAGAAAATTAAGTAGCAAATGAAATCACCTAATAAAATAATAAGAGTATGGATTATGGAGTCAAAACAGACCTATGTTTAAATCCTGGATTTGCCACTAATAAACTCTGTGAATTTGACTTAACTTCTCTAAGAGTCAGTTGTGTTATTTACAAATAAACAAAATAAATAAAAAATACAAATAAATAAAATAGGTAATGTCAGGTATCTTTTTTTTTTTTTTTTTTTTTTTTTTTTGAGAAGGGGTATCCATATGAAAACCTTGACTAATTTTCATTGTTCTCCACTGAACCACAGCTCCTGTTTAGCTTTTTTCTGAAATTCAGAAACAATGGCTGGACCACAGTTACTCATATACTGGTACATACTTTAAATTTTGTGGGCCAATATCCTTTCTGTCCTCGCTCTTACGCTAGTATCAAATAACCCTAGCATCATGTTGCTTAGTAGCATGTCCTTATCACAAAGAGATCAGTATGTTATCAAACAGTAATTATAAGAATGGCCTGACTCATGGGTTTTATAGTCTAGATGGGGATATGAACAGTTTTATACAAGTTTTATAGAAGTCTCTCTAGAAGGTTGGGGGTGGGGGCAAAGGGAAGAGGAAGCTCAATACTCTATGGTAAAAAACTATGGGTGCTTTGGTGGTGGGTGTGGTGCAGTGACATATATCTGAGGATGTGTTCATTTATTCCCCTAAATCATATACAGTGTTGTAAACCAACATTATTTTAATTAAAAAATAAAAAGAAGAAGAAGTGGTCTTCTGGAAAGGACAGGCATCCTAGAGTATAAATCTTAAGGATTTTGAAGAGGGGATGCATTGCTAAGTGAGGAGAAGAGGAAATGGAATTAGGGTTTACAAGTGGAAATGACAAGCCAAGGATGAGAAGCAAAGTTGATTCACATAGCCCACAGTAGTATGTGACAGGATATGCATGTCTTGGAGGACACAATTAGAACTTCTAAATTTATTCAAGAAGCATCTGAATCAAGGAAAACTTTTATATAATATGCAATACAAGCACAAATATCCATTATACTTTAAAATGCTACTCATTGATGAATACTATGTTCACATGTAACTCATTCATTGTGTGGCACTAGGAAGCTGCACCAATTTAAGATCTGTCCAATAAAGTTAAAGTACCATGAATAGTATTATACAAAGTTAACCACAACTGAGTCAAAGTTAAAACTTGTACTACTTATGTTTTCTTCATCTGTCCCATATAAAAACAGTGCTTTACCACATCATATATGTCTATTGTTTCCTAGTCAAGCTATCTATTTGTGACTCCATAATTTGCTGATAGTTATGCCTATTTGCAATATTATTAATAAACACTCAGATGCACACAACATTATGTGATGTGATGGTTAAGGGCAAGGGCTCTGAAACCATAGTGCTTAAGTCTTCAGTTCTTTCTCTACTACTTAGTTGTTAGGACTAGTTGTTGTTACCTTGGAATAGTTACTTTATTTCTCTAACTCTGTTTCTTCATCTTTAGAAGAGAGATAAATATGTCATCCAAGGTGGTTGTGAATGATTAGATTCATATAGGTCAAGTTTCTAGTGGGGTACTAAACTCAAAGCAAGCACCTGATAAGTACTGAGGCTATAATTATTATTATGCTTCTGCTATTGCTGTTATTACCATCATCATCAACATTATTAAAGGAAGATCTGTCTTTGCCTTCCAGAAACTTAAAAGCTTGAGAATTTAACATGGCTCGGTAAAAGCTTCCACATAACTAAAAACACTTTAATGAATCCTAGCACATCTAGTTCATTATGAAGTGTACACTCTACATTTGGGCAGTGGTTACTGAACACCCATAAGATACAAAACAGTTTAGCAGCAAAAGAAAACCATGTGCCATTTGCCATGTGTGCCACCAGGACAGCAGCATGACCTCTGAGACTGAATTCACTCTACATCAGCAGCCCACACTGAAGTCTTATGACCACCCAATGACTTTCCAGAGCTTTTCTGTAAAATCAGCTGACTGGCTTGGCCATTCTCCCAGCAAACAGGTGTAAATATCACTACTACCACCACAACACCAAGCACTATCTTGGCAGGGGGTTTAAGAATTAAATGATCCTTGGAGAGTGATATGGCCTCTCAATTCCAGAGATCTAATTATGATAAAATATTCTGAAAATGCAAAACATTAGTCCTATACTCTCCGAAAGTAATAAAACATAATTTCTTGGGGGGACGGGAAGTCTAACCTTCTATTTGGAAGGCTAATTACTGACTGCCTTTTAAAGATGCATTAATCATCTGAGCTACAATGATTTCTAAAATATGGATATAAGGCAAAAAAAGACACTGTCCAGAGGAAAGTCAGAGAGTGGGGAGGCAAGAACTTTCCATTATTATTATTTGGAGAGAGGAAAGGGGAAAACCCAACTACTAATGGTAATCAGAAGATTGAAAGGAATTAGAACAAAAATTTTGGCAGCAGAGATATTAATCTGTCAACAAGTACTGAGTTTTTACTACCTATATTGCACTGTTAGGGTACCTGGAAAATCAGATTAGGGTAAAATATGCTCTCAAGGAATACATTGGAATAGACATAGTAGTTGGAGAGAAAAGATTTAAAGAAATGGTATGCTAAATAATACTTTCAGATGAATCATAAACTAACACAATCAACTGCCAAGGTAGGAGATTTATATTTAAGTTCAGAGACCACTAGGGTGGAGGAACCTGCTATGTGCTATAAAAGAACAAGAGAATTTGACTCAGAAATTGTAAAAAAGAAAAGAAAATTCATGAATACAAAAAGAGAAAGGGCATTCAGAACTGCAAATATATCAGCATCACTTCTGCCTTGTCACTTTAACCGGTAACTTGATATTGGGGACTTACTTACTATTTATTATGTTAGGCTCATAGACTTATTGAGTAAGTCCTAACTTTTTGGAGCTACACTATAAGTATTTAAAGATTAGGTGTCATGATGTTGACTGGATTAATAAATGTTGAACAGAGGTGGCAGTTATGTGGAAATCCACTATATTACTCTTCTTTCCAAACACTCTTACATGTTCAAATGAAAGGTTAAAAAAAATAGCATCACTAAATTAAAAAAAAAATGCAAAGGGAAAAGGTTGAAAGGAATTAGAACAAAATTCTGTCAGGAGCCATGTTAGGATAATGGGTGATTTTCTCCCCATCATTTCCTCAAAAGGAAATGTCATGCAAAATACTCATGTTGATTTTACAATGGAAAAGTAATAACATGAAAGATATTGTGTAAACTTAAAAAAATAGTACTTCACAGGTCAACTATAGGTAAAAGGTGTTGGAAAAGTTTTGTAAGGTGTATCTCTTTATTATGGAGACACTAAACCATTTAGATGAGGTGGTGAATAGGAAAGGCTGGTGAGAAGAACATCTCTATTCCTATTATCTACTTCTGCTTTCTGAGTCCTAGGGTTAGTAGCTGTTACCTCCAAACAACTTCAAGTTCTAGAGACAATCACTGACATATGGAGGTTTACATAGTGTGATGACAAAATAAAATGAGGGTTAAAGTGTAAGCTTTAAATTCAATTCACTGTGTGTAAAATGACACCTGTGTATCTTGGAGAAGCAAATAAATCTCTGAAAGTTTAGCAATTCACAGCTTAGTGGCAGGATCAAATCTCTTGCTCTTTTCTCATTCTGTCATCCACAAGACAAAAGCTTAAAAAATTATTTCAAACAATGTTGTACAAATACTATATTCAGAGTAATTCCTAGTTCACATGAAATTAGACACTGAGAATAAGGTATTTCTTTTGAAATTTGCTTTAGTCATTGTTTACATGGGAACAAGAACACTACTGGTAAATACATACAACAAATATTTTCCAGAATTTCTCAACATCCTTACATATGTAAAATTTTGTAGGAGAAAAAGTCTAAAACTCACTGCAAAGTGTTCAGAATTGGAAAAACACTATTTCCAGCACCACAGCCAACCTAAAACCAAAAGAACAAAGAAATATCATGAAAATAAGATTGAGTTTTCCTCACCAATGTCAGGTTTTTCATTAAAAAATTTTGGAAGAAATTTATTGGATCTCTGGGTACATGAGAATTTTTAAACTCAAAAGCAATGAAATAAATCGCAAGAGTAATATTGAGAAATTTGACTATAGAAACATTTGGAAGTTTTACACACCAAACCCCAAAATAAATGACATTAAGAAGTAACCAACACATTGTGAAAAAAAATCTGCAATAAATATGAAAAAGGGCAAAGCTCATTTAAAAAACATAAATAAGCAAAAGAAATAGAACACAAAAGAAGTACAAGTAAACCACTTGAAGAACAATGTAACCTATTTAATAATCAAAGAATTACATATTAAATCAAGGTATGATTTTTGTATACCAAAGCAGAAAGCATTAATTAAGAAAGAATACCTCAACCAATGAGGATATAATGAAATAGATACACACTACCATGAACTGGTATAAGTATAATTTCTTAGGCAGCAATTTGGCAATACATATTAAAACTTTTTATAAATTATGAACTAGCATATCTAAACCACTCTAATAAAAGATAATACGTTAAAGTCTGTACCCAGAGATGTTTGCTGCAGAAAACCTGAAAAAATGTTAATGCCCAGCAGCATAGAAATAGCTAAGTAAAATCATGGCATTGCACATAGTTAAGCATTTTAAAGCCACGAAAATGTTTATAGAAAACTTTTAAAGATAGGGGAAACTGCTTATGATAAACTGAAACAAAGCAAAATCCCAAAATATAAGCACACAGTATCACCCAATTACATAAAACAGTATAAACAAAAGAGAAAAATCAGTAAAATTTTAACAGTGGTTAAATCCCTTGTTTGTGGCATTGTAGATAATTTTATTTCTCTAAATTACTCTTTAGCAAATTTTCTGTAATCAATATATACTACTGGTATAATAAAGAAGTTCATTTAAAAAGAAGCAGCCAAAATCTACACCAGATTATAGCAAACCATATATCTCACTTATTTCTATTTCACATAAAAAGAAGTGATAACAGAGATAGAATTAACACCAAAACTTCATTGGTACTTAAAATTATCCCTGCAAGTTAGAAATTAATACAAATTTTAAAAATGTTAAAATCACAAATGTACAGCCTGATTGATTACAGATATGAGTTCCTTAAATATTTTCTATGTACAAAAGTATAGCAAACACTTATTTATATTTGATGATTTTTCCCAAAAAATATGGATCCTGGGCCTCCCCGGTGGCGCAGCGAGTTAAGCACTGCGCTGTGAAGCTTTTCGCAGCCTCTGCAGCGGGGGTTTGTTTCTCGGCTGCCAGGGAGAAACCCACATGGTGTGGCAGACCTCTCTTGCCTTGCCCACTGATCCCCTCAGCAGTGTCTTCAGTCCGTCTGCCTGTTCTGCTCCCTGCTCTGTCTCTGGTGAATTCTCTCACCCTCCCACGCCTCTTGCATAAATAAATAAATCTTTAAAAAAATATATGGATCATTAATAATGGAATATGGAATGTGCATCTGAAAATTATTTACAAAAATATTAGCAAAGGGAGCATGATCATTACATAGTGAACATGAAGTCACTTTGATATAAAAGCACAAAATACTTAAAATAATATGTACCAAAATATTAATTACTGATCACCATCTTTAAGTAGTGATTGTTATTTTTTAACTGGTACTTTGCTCATTCTTTTTCAATAAACACACTTTGTTAACCAGAAGTAAATAAGTAAAAAAAAATTAATCAATTGGGGCCTCCCTGGTGGCACAGGGGTTAAATCTCAGCACTGTCACACTATCACTGCTGCGGCCTGAGTTCAATCCCTGGCCAGGGAGCTAATCCAGCAGACCTCTCCTGCCTCACCAAGTTGCTCCCCTTGGCAGTGTATTTCAGTATATCTGCCTGTTCTGCTCCCCACTCTGTCTCTGGTGAATCCTGTCACCCACCCACTCCCGCACCTCTGGCCTACACCCCCGTATTTGTATGTATAAATAAGAAAAAATATGAGCCTCCCTGGTGGCACAAGGGTTAAAGACACAGTGCTATCAAGCTATCACCAGCCACTGCACAGGTTCAATCCCTGGCCAGAGAGCTAACCCACATGGCGCAGCAGACCTCCCCTGTCTCACCAGCTGTTCCCCTCAACAGTGTATTTCAATCAGTCTGCCTTTTCCCCACTGGGGAATCCTCTTTACCACCCCCCTCCACCAGCTCTGGCCTATACCCCAATTCTTGGATGCATACATAAATAAATCTTTAAAAAAATAAAAGTTAATTAAAAAAAATCAACTAATTAAAAAGTAAAATTATTTGCAACCCTTCTTTGCCCCTGCAGTACTGTACCTCTAGGATTCTGAAAGTGGCCTTGCTGCCAGGAAATTCCATCTTCAGAGGTACTTTTCTGTGTTCTTTAGAGTCCAGGTTGAGAAAGTCTGATTCTGGTTTGCTTTGACTACCTGATGAACCAGAACTTTTCTTTCCAGACATAGTATGGCAGAGCATTCTTGAGAAACAATCTGTAGCATTGGTTTCAACATAATCCCATGATAATTCTCTTGCCTTCTCTTTAGTTTTTTGATCAGTTGGAAGAATTTCAGGAAATTCCCTCAATAACCAATTACGATCTTTGAAAAATTTATTCTTATGAATCTTGTAAAATGTGTCCCAGTATTTACTGGCTTCACTTTCATATTTAACTAAAATAAAGAGGAAAAAAGATTTATTTTACTATGAATTATATTTACTATTAGTTACTATCTTAGTAACTTAATCTATTTAATCATTAAATACTGTTAAATATTACATATATTATTTTTCATTTATAACAATTATATTTATTATTGAATAAGTTTATTATAATTTTATGTATTTGATATTTTTCATCTCTTAAAGATTGAAACTAGAGTATTAATTCTCAAAATATGACAATGGGTAGGATATGTAGTTTTATCCTTGAAAACCTCTTAATAGCTTGGCCAATGCATTTTTGTGAGGACTATAATCACTACAAGCTATTTTCTGCAGTCTAATTTTGGGATCTTAATAATCACATTTTTACCAATAACCTGTAAAATTCTACTGACATAGGGAAAGGAAACCTCATTTTTTGCCTCTGAAGTGCAGTTTTAACAAGCATGCCAATGTAAATTGGTCATCAGATAAGAAATTGTGGAATTATAAATGATAAAATTCTAAAGCCAGAACAATATACTGAAACAATTCACTGCTTCCCCAATGAACCCTTCCCCCTGTTTTACATTTGAAAAAAGGACAGCACAGAGAGATGAATCTACTCTTCCATATCTAGGAGCCCTGTCACATTAGAACCAGGACCATGCTTCTGCCTACTGCAGGCTAGGGGCAATCCCATAGCTTTATTCACTCTCCTGCAACCTCCACAGGCATCTCTTCTTATTGATATCTTCTCTCCCGATATGACACCTTAGAGAGAATTTCTGAGGACTTTTTAAAAGAAATACACATTTTGTGAAGACATCCTTTAAAGTTTCCTGGGTTCCTGGGTCAGGGGCAGGTCAACAGTGTCAGGACTTCAGACAATTCTTAGCTTTCTGCTTCTTCCTAACTGTACCTAAAATAAATAATTTACTCACTCCCTCACTCATTCATTCAACATTTCTTGGATATTACCATGCACTAGGCCTAATTTCTGAGTTAAGATAATTTTGCCCAATGTAGACACATGACATCAATGCTTCAAATAATGAAAAAGATCTTCTATTTATATAGAATCATTTCCAAGATTTAGAATTACACGAAAAAGCAAAGTGTAGAACAGACACAATATTTTTTTGTTAAAAGAAAAAGAATACTGTGTATGCATACGCAAAAACACATTTGTATGCATATACACCTATTTACTTGTATATGTACAAAATACTTTGGTTGGAAAGACAATCACATAATTAGTAACACTGGTTGCCTCTAATGAGGGGAACTGAGTAGCTGGGCACCGGGGTTAGAGGGAAAATTTCTATTTGAATTTTAATCTATGTGAATGGATATCCAAATTTAGCTTAATTAAATTTATTCCCAAAATTAATTAAAACTAAAACAAATGGACTCATTTTTTTCATAATTTTAAAGAAGGCCTTGCCCTCAGAACAGCACTTGTCTGTGGTAAGGTTCATCTTTGATACAGAGCCTGGCCCTAAAGCCCTTGTAGTTTTCATTTTCATCTTTACGGCCTTGTACCATGATCTCCACCCATCTGGTCATAAGACTTCCTTCCCATCAAGGCTGGATTGTATCTGGCAACAGGACTGCAATACAGACATCTGTATTTAGGGTCTGAGATGGAAACAAACCAAATGCCAAAAAATAGATGACTCGATTAAGAAGATGCGGTATAGATATACAATGGAATACTATTCAGCAATCATAAAAGATAAACTCATGCCATTTGCAGCAATATGGATGGAGCTAGAAGGGATTATGCTCAGCAAAATAAGCCAGAAGGAAAAAGAAAAATATCAGATGATTTCATTTATAGGAGGAATATAGAGGAAACCAAATGAGGGATCAGGGAAAAATAATAATAATAATAAATTTAAAAAAACAAGCAGGCAACTATAAATTAGAGACATTCGACAAGGGAGGGGGAGGCAGAAGGATCAAAACAAGAGAGGGAAGAGCGGACTATAGCGATGGTGCACAGGTGAATTGGTGGTGGGAGTTTTATGGGGATTATACCTGAGAGGAGAAAGTATACATTGTACAAAAATGAACAATGATATAATATATATAGGTATATATAAATTTTTAAAAAAGTTCACAGTTTTAACCATACATTACACTGCCATCCTAACGCAAAATCAGTATCTGAAAATAATGCTTTTCTGATTTTGTACTTCTTTCTCAATATGAAGCATTGAGTTGAAAGTCAAACCTTAGTGATTTGTTTATAATCAGTATAAGTAATTTGTGAAGATAATGTTGATCATAATGAACCTTCATAGAAACAGAGCAGAAATAAAGAATTAATTAAATCCCATTCTTTGAATTATATAAAAAATAATCTATACATAATAATCAGGATATTACAATGAGCAATGAAACATAAAAAGTTCTTTTAGAGCAGATGGGTTTGTGGGATAGAAACAAAACAGAAACAGCACATAGGCTGGGCTAGGGTTTAGGCTACCTGGGCCAGAACTTTTTATTTTCCTTTTAATGTTATACTTTCTTTCAACAGCATCTCCAGTCAAAGCTGGGAAATCCACAATATTCAGTAATGTGTGACAGCTTGGTATACCTCAGAGGGAGCTCAATCAAACTCAAATTTATGTTAGTTGTGAGACAAAGTAAACACCTTCAGTGTATGATTTAATTCCCTTACTGCAAGAGTATCTGTGATAACAGGGGATTTGGACTACTTTCTACCCACGAGTGAAATTTTAGTTTCAACGTGCTGTTAACTCATCTCAAATTCAGGTCAACAAATATTAAAGAACAGAGTATAGAGAAATATGCTGTTTTCATCTTATCCAACTCACCTTCTAAATAGGTATATTAATGATCAATTTTTCTTGGAGAAGCAATTTTTCCTTTCACTTTCTTAAGTCGCTGATTCAGAGTTAATTGCTCTATGCGAATGGCAGTAAAAGGGATGTGGTGATCTGTTTAACCACAGTCAGATAAAGCAAAGTCTCTCAATTATTCACTTATTAAATTCAATACTGCTGAGGAGATGAAAGAAAATGCCACACTAACTGTACTTAAATATTCAGAATTCACTCTGAATCACACTGAATATCACAACTAAGAAATTGAATTAAACCATTTATGTATCTGACATATATGATATGATTAATATGAATTATGAAAATTTATTCCAAGTTGCAATGTTAACAAAAAGCAATTTAAAGTTATTTTTGCACATCAATTACGCAAATACCTGAGCTCTCAAAGTTGAAAATTTCCACATGTCACTGATAAAGTTCATTGTCTAATAAAAGAAAACTCTTAAAGCTATGAAATGAAAAGTATATTTCTAAGAGCAGTGCATGAAATTTTAAAGAACCATAGCCAATTTATAAACAAGTACCCTAAATTTATCAGCTCATAAAACATCAGCTATTCCTTTTATCACATTATTCACTTATTAAATTCAATACTGTTGAGGAGATGAAAGAAAATGCCACACTTGAGACAACATGCTCAAGTGATAAGATAGTCACAAGGTAAGAGGGATTCTTTTACTATTTTGCTTGATATAGATAACTTACCCGAGGTAGGTAGTTATTTACAAGGATTTTTTAAATTAATATTTTATTTTATATAATTCTTACATCATTTTTCATTTTTGTACAATGTATACATTATCATTTTGGTTATAATCCCCATACAATTGCACGCCCCCTTATTTTGACCCTAGTCCTTCCTCTCACCTTCCCTCCCTCCAACCCCCATGGTGTGTCTCTGGTTTATAGTTGCTTGTGGATTTTTATTTTTACTTTGTATTAATTAGTCTTTTTCCTGGTCCCTTATTTAGGTTTTCTAAATTCCTGCTATGAGTGAGACCATCCGGTATTTTCCTTTTTCTTTCTGACTTATTTCACTGAGCATGATCCCTTCTAGCTCCATCCATGTTGCTGCAAAGCTATATCAAATTAAAGAGCTTTTGCACAGCAAAAGAGACAATAACCAAAACAAAGAGAAACCCTACCGACTAGGAGAAAATTTTTGCACACAACACTAATGATAAAGGATTGATCACAAAAATGTACAAAGAGCTGATGAGACTCAACAAAAACAAAGAAAATAATCCAGTCAAAAAATGGGCAGAAGAACTAAAAAGAAACTTCTCCAAAGAGGAAATGCAAATGGCCAACAAACATATGAAAAAATGTTCAACATCACTTGTAATCAGGGAAATGCAAATCAAAACTACAATGAGATACCATCTTGCACCAGTGAGAATGGCACATATTAAAAAAACTAGCAACAACAAATGTTGGCGAGGTTGTGGGGAAAAAGGAACTCTCCTGCATTGCTGGTGGGAGTGCAGACTGGTCCAACTACTATGGAGAGCTGTGTGGAGATCTCTCGACCTACTAAAGATAGAGCTTCCATATGATCTAGTAATTCCACTCCTAGGTATTTACCCAAATGACACAGAAACATTAATTCCAAAGGGCACCTGCATCCCCATGTTTATAGCAGCACTATTTACAATAGCTAAGCTATGGAAACAACCTAAATGCCCAAAAATAGGTGACTGGATCAAGAAGATGTGGTACATATACGCAATGGAATATTACTCAGCAATCAAAAAATAAATACAATGATATTTTAAAGTAACAATAGCAGCTGTTTTTGTTATTAGGCTTTAGGAGTCCATTATATTTGCTATATAGCCAGCTGCAATAAAACTCAAAAGCTGCCAAATGTATCTCTGTCATTTCTCCGAATTAACCTGCTTTTAAAGGAAAAGTGAGTAACAAGGGCCTCCCCTGGTGGCGCAGCAGTTGAGCACTGGGCTGCGAAGCTGCCCACAGCCTCTGCAGTGCCTGTTCAATCCCCTGCCACTGGCGAGGGTCCCACATGGCGCGCAGACCTCTCCTGCCATGCCCACTGCTCCCCTCGGCAGTGTATTTCATCAGTCTGTCTGTTCTGTTCCCCGCTCTGGCTCTAGTGAATTCTCTCACCCTCCCGCGCTTCTGTCTGTACCCAGTGCTTGTATAAATAAATAAATAAATCTTTAAAAAAAAAGAAAGAAAAAGAAAAGTGAGTAACAACACAATTTAAAATAAATTAATAAGAGTAACTGTGGAATTAAAAATCATTAATCTAGGCATCTATTGAAAGCAGCATTGCTAATGGAAATATGGATGTTATACGTTTTAAGCATGGAAATGAAATATCAACCATCCCATAGCAAAAGATTGTAGTATTTGCAATGGGTAAGTTCTTATTTTTGGAATAGTGAGGCTGTTTCCTGACTTCAGTTCTCACCAACAGCTCAGACAATAGGTGAGAAATGGGAAATGGGAGTGACAGGAGAGACTACCACACACAAAGAGCGAAAGAAATGTTCGGGAGAGTTGGCCAGCATAGGAGAACGACCAGTATTTCCTCCCAATGGGATTGAAATAAGTGAGATAAGATCAGTAATGGTGCTCGTGATCTCCAGAGGGAGTACTGTGTGATAGGAGAAAACTGGCTATTTCAAAAACTTAGGATCTTCTGGATAAGACGTGCTGGTGTTTAACAGGCACTGGGGGAAGAACCGAGTTTCTTTGGGCTTTCACAAAATTTGGGAGTAGAGCTTTTAGATCTATTCCTTTTGACCAATACTCATCAGAGACATTAAATATTGAATCAGAAATGTCATCTATGGCTTCTTCCTCGTAGGTCAATGACCCTTGGCAGAGACTGGATTGATTGGTTGGGTAGGTACTTAACTCTCACTGTCATGTCCAGTCACTCAACATAGTTCCTCAGGCAAAGGTTTCTTTCTTTTGTCAATCTCACAGTAGCCTTAGTCACTATTCTGCATACCTTGCTTCAGTGCGATCAAATAGTCACCCAAATAGTATTCCTTTCCTTGTAGCAATTCCCCAACATGTATGAAGTCCACCACACTAAGTAGTGTTATGTGGGGGGACCCAGCAGAAACCTTAACCACCATGAAGCATTTCAAAATGAAATCTTTTGTTCTGTGTCTCCATGGCAGCCAGAAAACAAGCTCCGAAAAAGACTGGACATGCTAATAAGCAAACCAAATGCTTCAAAGCAGTATCATCAGTCCTCTCCAGCCTGCTTTTCCTGCTTCTATAGAGAGAGGCCAGTCACCACCTTTCTATTTCAGTCACACTATGGTTCTGTGGGAACGGTCATTTTCCTTTACTGTGGTTTCCAGGGCCTGAAAATAACCTTCTCATTAGCTTCGCTCAAGTTCATTGTTAACATAAATAGGCCAAAATAGGCAGCCACATACAGAGCATTTTAAGGGAACATTATCAGCTCTGCTCCTCTATTTATGTTCTAAATAGAAATATTCAAAAGAGCATGACAAAAAGCCTTGGTTTTTCATATTATCAGGAAATATATAGTGGATAATTTTTAACTTCCTGGAAACAAATTAAGATGACTGATAACTTTTAATTCAGTTTAGGCTTGACTCTTTTTGTCATATCCAGGTGGCCACTAGCAGAAGCTTGAGTAATGTGGAAAATATGTCTGTGCAGCTGCTGGCAAAGAAGCAAAATTACACTTCCTAAGAAACAGTGTGACAGAGTTTCTGCAAAGGAATGCAATGTTGGCTGATTTGTAAGCAGAACTGCCACTGGTATGCACCCTCAAATCCAACCCCAACACTCCCTGGCCATAGCCCACTCTGGGACTGTATGGCTGACGCTAATAAAAATAGAATGATTCCATTGTGGATCAGGTGTGCTTCTTTTCTATCTGCTCTCCAGGACCCAGTCATGTTTAGGAAAAGAAAGGAGAACTAGCTCTAAAGGGATAGCAAGGAATGCCAGAGGATAAGAAAAGCTATCAAAGATGCCAGAAAATAACATAGGGCAGCATGCCCCCTTCACGGTTTATGCCAGCTAATGAGGGCTATCTCATTAGCTCAGTTTCCACAGCTATATTCACTTGAAACTTGAGACTCAATTGTACAATGAAGTCATTTAAAAAATAGTTAACTATAGGTAGGATTATAATTTTCACTGAGGTAGGCCTGCTCAGAGGACTGCAAACATTGTTTTCTGGGGAGTTTTAGAACAGCTTATCAATTTGGAAATAAAATTCTATGTCAAGGACTGACAAACACTTTCTATAAAGGGCCAAACAGTAAGTAATTTTGGGGGGCTAAATAGCTGCAACTATTCAGTTCTGCAGATATAGCTCAAATGCAGTAATGGACAATATGTAAACAAATGACTATGTCTGTGTTCCAATAATACTTTATTTATAAAAACAGGCAGTGGCTGGATTTGGCGTGGCCATGGCTTGTTGATAATTGCCCTGTTTTACAGGTACACTGATATAGCTATCAGAATAATTAAGAAACGATGATCACCAGAACCAGGTTATTCTGGCAAAACTAATCTAGGGTATTGGAAGACACAGTAGTGGTTGTGCTTTGTGGGATCTGAGGGATTGAGGGAAATACTATATTTGAGATAGAGTGTGAATAAGATTCTGGGTTACTGGCAATATTCTGTTTTTGATGTGGGTGTTTGGAAAATTTATTGAGCTATTTGAGAATTCATTTACAAGTTGTGTAAATGCTACTACAATAAACTATTTCTTAATAACAAACAAAAATATAACCAAGCTGGGCCTCCCCAGTGGCGCAGCGGTTGAGCGCTGGGTTGCGAAGCTGCCCGCGGCCTCCGCGGCGCCGGTTCGATCCCCGGCTGCTCCCCGGCCACCAGAGGAGGGTCCTGCATGGTGCACAGACCTCTCCTGCCGCCCGCTGCTCCCCTCAGCAGTGTACTTCGGTCCTTCTGCCTGCTCTGCTCCCCACTCTGGCTCTGGTGAATTCTCTCACCCTCCCGCGCTTCTGACTGTACCCAGTGCATGTATAAACAAAACAAACAAAAAACAAACAAATAAATAAATAAAACATGCCTCTCTAAAAAAAAAAAATAAAAAAAAAATAACCAAGCTGTTTTAAAGGACTAATCATTTTTTAAAAAAAAATTAGAAAACCCCATGTAGAGTATAGGGGTTGGGCAAAATATTTGTGGGTTCCCCCTATGCAGTGAGAATGACATAGTGTGCTCTAAAACATAAAATTTACCATCTTAACCACTTTAAGTGTATAGTCTAATAGTATTAAGTATATTCATAATATTGTGAAATGCCCAGATGTCCAGGGCTTTTTCATCTTGCAAATCTGAAACTATAATCAATAAACAACAATTCTGTGTTTTCTCACCTCCCAGTCCCTGCAACCACTGCTCTACTTTCTGTTTCTATGAACCTGTTTACTTTAGATACTTCATATAAGCGGAATCATATAATATTTGCCTTCATTTGGCTGATTTAATTCAGTTAGCATAAAGTGCTCAAAGTTCATCCTGGTTAGAGAACCACTGTAGGTATATGTCATATTTACTGATCCATTTATCTGTCAATGAATATCTGGTGTGATTCCACCTACTGCCTATTCTGAACAGTGTTGTAAGAATATGGGTGTGCAAATATCTCTTCAAGACTGTTTTCAATTCTTTCGGCTATATATCCAAATAGGATTGTTAGATAATATGGTTGTTCCATTGTTAGTTTTTTGAGAACTTCCATCCTGTTTTCCATAGAGGCTATATCATTTTACAAGTCTACCATTTCTCCACCTCCTCACCAATTCTTGCTATTTTCTTATTTTGTGATAGTTGGATAGGCCAATTTTTTTAGAAGTCATTTTTGAAGCTTGGCAAAGTCTTATCTAAATTAAACTCTAAACATAAAAATATCCAAGAAAAATAACTTAACTTTATGTTTGAAACTTTGTGTTTATCCTAAAAGACCAGCAATATTTTGATATGATCTCACCATGCACAAATATATGTGCACAAATATATGACTGTACAGCAAGAAAGAAATTTTAAAGTTATGTTTTCATGTCTTGTTTGAAATACCACCTGTGTATATTTCCCAGAAAAGGCAGTAATATGAGTACCAAAAGAGAAGGTATAGGGTGAATATGTAATTTATTTCATTAATTTTGATTCTACTGCACTGGAATAACTGGGAATTCTTCCAAATAGAACATGTGCATTGATACAGGTAGAAACTAAAGCTCTCCAAAAACAATGAAACAATCAGGAGAAAAAGAGACTGACGCCTGAACTGAAATCAGTAGATGGTAAGACAAAAGTTGGACTCTGAGACTACCACATAGTGCCTACCTTGTTCTTCCAAAAGGACTCTTACAGCTGAGTTTTCCATTACTTTTTTTCTGGCAGCTGCTTCATCTTCTTTTGACCACTTCATATGATCCCTATCAAAAAATAAAAATAAAAATATTGTACAACATGCTTTACGATTAAAGAAGAAAGAAAAAGGGCCACAAGTACACAACTTTCATTCTAGACTAGTCAAAGACAAATGATACAAATTAATTCCATATCAAATGATTATTTTGTGTTAGATGTTCCTTCTGATAATGCTGGTCCAATCCTGAAACTCCAAATCTTGGAACTCCTACCATTCTCTTGCTTGAATCTGGTTATACTGTGTAAGCTGCACCCACCTTTTGGAAATAACTGCTGAATAATATCCCAGGAGCACTGAAGATGCATGATTATCTGGGTGCTGGCATGGCTTGCTGTGTTTACTCTAAGGCTAAATTTATTTTTCTTTTTATTAACTTACGAACACAATATTCTTTGATAACTTTTTTAAAAGATTTATTTATGTTATGCATACAAGAACTGGGGTACAGGCCAGAGGTGTGGGGTGTGAGAGGATTCACCAGAGACAGAGTGGGGAACAGAACAGGCAGACTGACTGAAATACACTGCTGAGGGGAGCACTATATACTAAATATAACCTCCTGGGTGAGACAGGAGAGGTCTGCTGCGCCATGTAGGTAGCTCCCTAGATGGCCAGGGATCAAACGCCTGCTGTAGAGGCTGCAAATAGCTTCATAGTGCTGTGCTTAACCCCTTTTGCCACCAGGGAAGCCCTTCTTTGATAACTTTTAATGCTCCTTTTATTATGCTTGTATTCTAATACTTGCTACTGAAAAGATGTTTTAAATTTCTTATACTCACTCTGATTTTTGAGTAACTTCAGATTTTTCTTATTACCTATCTTAATTTCTATAAGTGGATTTATTTATATTTAAATGATAAACTACCTGGCATATAGCATGTAAAGGTCATCTTTCTAGAAAACTTCTTATAATTTTAATTTCAGATTTTATTCTTTCTATATAAGAAGATAATAGTCTTTGCCACAAAAAAAAGTCTTTCTTAGAATAGAAGTAACATTTTTATACAAAACAGGTGAATTTACATTTCTTTTTTTGCAATAGGGAAGATAAGTGAGTGATGTAATTTCCTGCAATACAACATTATTCTAAGCAGTAAAGAAATTACACACCCAAAATTCAAGTTCCATATAGCCTACTGGTAACTAAATAAATCTCTGGGCCTCCCTGGTGGAGCAAGGGTTAAAGTATCAGCCCTATCAAGCTATCACCAGCTACTGGGGCACAAGTATGATCCCCAGCCAGGGAGCTAACCCACATGATGCAGCAGACCTCTCCTGTCTTGACAACTGCTCCCCTTAGCAGTGTATTTCAGTGGATCGCCTGTTCGGCTTCCTAGTCTTCTCTAGTGAATACTCTCTCTCTCTCTCACACACACACACATACACACATACATACCCCAACACTCCCTCAACCCCACCTCTGGCCTAAACCCCAGTTCTTGTATGCATAAATAAAATCTTTTTTTTTTTAAAGAAAATCCCTAACATATATTTGTTGCTATATCACTGATGAAAAAGGGATACATTATAAAATTTACCATGCATAAACATGGTGACTGATAAACATTAACTGAGATATGTATGAAGCTGGGCATATGGGCAGCATTTACAAGAAACAAAGGAAAAGTCCATTTTGACTGGTTCTCTTGGGTAAATGCAGATGAAGTTAAGAGCTGGGTAATGGTCAGATTTCAGAGGATTTTAAATGCCAAGTTTACTACTATGCAAGGCACAATGAAATATAGGGGACACTGGAAAAAAGGTGACCAATTATACTGTTGCAAGGGTGTAGGGGTAATGAGTCCTGGGACGAAGGTGTTGGCAATGGAAAACAGAAAGGAAAATAAAAGAAGGAGAAGCACTATGAAAAAGACTGAAGCTATGACTTGGAGATGAACCAGATGGTGGGGAAAAAAAGTAAAAGTGAGGAATGATTACAAGATCTTACAACTAAGTATTGAGGAAAGGAGATAGTAACAATCACAACGCAAGGAGCTGCTTTGGGTGGAACTATTGGTACTATTTTAAGTTCTGTTGATGCAATTAGATACGATAGGGTATATTCCAGGACCTGGCTATAAATACACCACTGAAAAGTGAGAAGGTGCTCTCTTTTAAGGATTAAAACTGGTATAATGAAATCCCCGGAAAAGTAAATGATATGCAAAAATCAGAGTATCACAGATGAAAATTTAACCACCATTATTTCAAATAAAACCCAATCATTTACAACCCAAATAATAAACAGCTTTGCCACTTGCTTTAATGAAAGACATTAGAAGAAATTATTGTTTTGAAGTATTTTATAACTTCGAACTGGCAAATATACTATATATTCTGTACATATCAATATATAAAATATTATAACATGAGTTATGATAGTAAGGGCAACAAGTTATTTACCAAAAAAGTAGTATTATTACTAAGGGGGAAGACAAGTTTCTCATCTGTGAATTTCTACAAAATATAAGAAAAAAACATAAAAATCCATATCCTTGTAAAGAATCAAGCTGTGAAACAATAAGAGTAACTTTAGATTTAAGCATTTATTTTAAACTGTTTAACTTGCTTCTTCTTGAGTATTTAATAGATTTATTTCTTAAATTGCCCTAACTTCCTTACACCATTCTTTATGTTGCTTCATTTTCTTAACTACTAAGTGAGGGAAATACTATACCCTAAGCCTCTGCAGTGAAGATTTTCCACTGTACAGTTACAGAATCCCCACAGAAACCTATAAAATGTTCCTACTGTATTTATGGGGACTTCTGCCAACCTCCTGCTTTATGGCAGCTCTTTATATTAAAAGAGTTTGATTCACATATACCCAAACCAAAAGACAGCAACAAGAATCACTCAAGTTTATAAATAATAAATTAAAATAAAATTTAAGCATAGAGACAAATAACAAACAAACTAAAAATAATCAAGTATTTAACAAGAACTACCACTAAAGGAAAATAGTGGTTTGTAGTGTTTGACTTACGAATTGTACTTCTGGGAACTTACTGTAATAAAGTAACTCAAAAGAACGGAGAAGTATCTGTATACAAATATTCAATGGAATACCATATATAATAACTAATAATTGGAAACTATCTCAGTGATAGAGGAATGAAAATATTATGGTAACTCAATGAAATATTATGCAGGCATTTAAAATGATAAACATGAAGGTTACATAACAACACAGAAATATGTTAATGTAAAATAACATGAGGTTAAAAAAACAGATTCCAAAATTGTATATGTTTTGCAGTTACAACTATATAAAATTACATACACATTGTGTAAGATAAAAACAATTGTTAAAATAAATAGTGGACTTAAGGGAAAACTCTTAAATCTCCTTAATATTATAAAGCTTATATATCTGCTTCACCTGCAGATAATTCTTTTGAAACTATATTCACACAAATCTATATTGTATATTTAAGACATAAAACAATGGTCATTAAAACTCTGTATCATTCTTCATGGGGAAAAGCCCAGCAATTACAACAAAAAGGAAGGTATGTTTTCTAAAAAGAGTAAAATAAAAAAAAGAGTTAAATAGAAAATAGAAACTTGCTATCTTTTCTGAAAACTTGAATTTGAAAAAAGAAATCTCACAAATAAAAGAGAAGATTTTGAGTATGAAGTTTTCACAACATGGCTGGTAGAACTTTGCAGTAGTCCTAAATCCTGTGATCAGTTTGCATATTTCCTATCCCTTTCATATCAATAGTACAATTGAATCATGACTCCATGCTTCAGCTTTAAGCTGATGTCAATAAGCTTAAAAGTCTGAATAATTATGCATTTGGTTTGGTTTGGAAAAGTTAAAACACACTCACCCCTAGTAATTGTTCAGCTTGGGCTGATTTTTTTTTTTAAAGATTTATTTATTTATGCATACAAGAGCTGGGGTACAGGCCAGAGATGTGGGGGGTGAGAGGATTCACCAGAGACAGAGTGGGGAATAGAAGAGGCAGACTGACTGAAGTACACTGCCGAGGGGAGCAGTGGGCAAGACAGGAGAGGTCTGCTACACCATGTGGGTTGCTCCCTGGTGGCCGGGAATCAAACCCCCAGTGCAGAGGCTGCGGATTGCTTCAGAGTGTGGTGTTTAACCCCTTGCGCCACCAGGGAGGCCCTTGGGCTGATATTTTTGAGGCTCCTACCTAAAGAAAATACTGCTGAATATGATGCCATTTCCTCTTACAATTTTTACTAATCAGATATAAACCAAAGCACCCAGTGTAAGCTATATAGCTGAAATGTTTCTCTCTTTGTCATTTACTGTGTATACAAGTCTCATTATAAAGCAAATGTAAAGAAAATTTAACAAATACATAGGTAACCATGTATTTTAAAAATTGTAAATGTAAATTTAAAATATCTATTTTTATGTAAATTAAAAATATCTATTCTTAGTAAAAGTAAAAGGGTATTTGTTTCTGCTTAAGACTATGTCAGTAAACCTTAATTCCATAAGAAAGTCACATGTTATAGCTGCAATTATAATAACAGAAAATTTTAAAGACAAAGTCTTAACTTTTATTTATATATCATTATAGATGAACAGTTATTTTTCAAGTTCTTTCTGTACTTGTGTATATGTACACAAACATAAATATCTTTCTTTACAACTATAAAATCTTCATAATTATGATTTTAAAAAAACTATATAGGACTTGTGGTTTTGGCCATGACAGAATATTTGGAAATAAATGGATATGTCCCTCTCCTGTCATAAACATTGATAAAATTAGATAAAATGTATAAAGCAACTGTTTTTAGGTGTTGGACTGTGCTTTAGATAATACAGGACTGTGATACTTAAGAGAAGAGAAACACAGAAAGTTCCCACATTTACCCTGGCTTTCTGTCTAGGGACATATTTTACACTGTGGTGCAGAGGAACTGGGGACACAGAGATGAAAAAGATTTGGTAGAATTTGGTTATTAAAGAATAAAACTAGTAAGATGGGGATAGGTGCAATGGACTCATAATTTTTTTTT